GGGGTGTTGGGGCCATGGGGGTATATGGGAGGGTGCAGGGTGTTGGGGGTGCTGGGGCCATGGGGGTATATGGGAGGGTGCAGGGTTTATGGGTGCTGGGGGCATGGGGGTATATGGGAGGGCGCCGGGTCCTAGGGGGATGCTGGGGCCATGGGGGTGTATAGGAGGGTGCAGGCTCTTGGGGCAGGGTGCTGGGGCTGGTTCTGGGGCTATATGGGAGGGGGCAGGGTCCCGGGAGATGAGAGAAGGATACAGGGTCCACGAGGGTTGCTCTTGGGGGTGCTGGTGGCAATGTTCATGGGGAGGCTGTGAGGGATGCGAGGGCCATGGGGGAGTGGAGAGTCAGGAGCCGGGTGGGAGAGGCAGCGGGTGCCAGGGGCTCTCACCTCTATGCAAAATCACCTGTAAGAGAATTTGCAGCTCCTTGAATCCTCAGGCTGGCAGCCATCGAGCACCTTTCAGGCGTGCTCAGGGACTCATCTACCTACCTCAGCCGACATCGCGCTTGTTCTGAGCTCTCCTCTCCTAATTTAGCCTGGCTGATTTCCACTGCAGCCCTCAGAGTTCCTGCACGGGAGCTGTTACAGCCAGAGCTGCTCTGGAGTTGTGGAGGGTTGGGGTGTTCGTCCCACGCGTGCCAGGCCACAGCTGTAGCACTCGCCGTTATAAATGTGTGTCTGTTGCAGGACATGCTGGCCCTGAAGCCTCCCGTGCTGGGGGATATGCTCGGAGGAAGGTGGCTTTGCTTGCCCCGAGGATGGAGGACTCCAACTTGCAGACCTGGCGGTAACACCTCTCACCAGAGCTGCTGTCCTTAGCATCTTCAGTAGTAAACTTACGGAGGTACAAATGGACAGGAATGGAGTCGCTTTGTTCAGGTTGTGGCTGAGCACCCAGCAAAAGGATTCCGGTCTCCCTTGACGGTCACTTGGGTTGCTACGGAAAGCATGATGTTAGAATTAAAGGCCGCTTTCTGCAAGGGTTAGCATTAAGGTCCCTATTCCCCAGAGCACTTACCCTTGCGGATGCTCAGAGAGAATAAAGGACGCAAATCCAGCCAGCATTAAT